TTTTCCTCAAGTCTTTCCGCTTGAGAAATGCTGAGTGTGTTCTTCCCTTTTGGTTTTCTGACTCCAGATCTTTGCACTTTTCATTATAGTAACTGACTTTGTCTGCTTGAGCTACTCTTTGAAATCTGTTTAGCTCTTTTATCTTGTCATTTCTTCCATTTGCTTTAGCTACTTTCCACTCCAGGGCAAGTTGCAGAGTCTCTTCTGACATCCATTTTGGTCTTTTCTTCCTTTCTTGTCTTTTCAATGACCTCTTGCTTTCTTCATGGATGATGTTCTTAATGTCATATCACAATTCTTCTGGTTTTCAGTCACTAGTGTTCAATGCATCAAGTCTATTCTTTAGATGGTCTCTAAATTCAGGAGGGATATATTCAAGGTCATATTTGGCTCTTGTGGACTTGTTTTAATTGTCTTCAACTTCAACTTGCACTTTCATATAAGCAGTTGATGGTCTGTTTCACAATCAGCTCCTGGCCTTGTTTTGGCTGAAGATATTGAGCTTCTCCATCACTTTTTGCCACAGATGTAGTCAATCTGATTCCTGTGTACTCCATATGGCGAAGTCCACATGTATAGCCTCCATTTGTATTGTTGAGAAAAGGTATTTGCAATAAATAAGTCAGTGGTCTTGCAAATTCTGTCATGAGATCTCCAGCATTATTTCTATCACCAAGGCCAAATTTTCCAACTACCGGTGATTCTTTTTTGTTTCCATCTTTTGCATTCCAGTTACCAGTGATAATTAACACATCTGGATTGCATATTCAGTCAATTTCAGTCTGCAGAAGTTAATAAAAATCTTCAATTCTCTCATCTTTGGCCTTGGTGGTTGGTGTGAAAATTTGAATAATAGTCATATTAATGGTTTTCCTTGTAAGCATATGGATATTATCCTCTCACTGACAACATGGTACATCAGGACAGATCTTGAAACATCCTTTGTGATGATGAATGCCACACCGTTCCTCTTCAAATTGTCATTCCTGGCATAGTGGATCATATGGGTGTCTGATTCAGAATGGCCAAAACTGGTCCATTTCAGTTCACCAATGCTTAGGATATCAATCTTTATGCATTCCATTTCATTTCTGACAAATTCCAATTTTCCCAGCTCCATACTTCATACAGTCCATGTTCCAATTATTAATGGATGTTTGCAGCTGTTTCTCCTCAATTTGAGTCGTGCCACGTCAGCAAATGGAGGTCCTGAAAGCTTTACTTTATCCATATCTTTAAGGTTGGTTCTACTCTGAGGAGGCAGCTCTTTCCCAGTCATATTTTGAGTGCCTCCCAACCTGAGGGGCTCATCTTCTTTCATTGTATTGGACAGTGTTTCTGGGCTATTCATAAAGTTGCTCAGTAATGTATCAGACAATGTTTCTCTGCTATTCATAAGGTTTTCCCTGGCCAGTTCTTTGAGAAGTGGATGGCCTCTACCTTCTTCCTAGCCTGTCTCAGTCTGTAAGCTGCGTTCAAACCTGTGCACCATGTGCAACCCTGCTGGCATTTGAAACACCGGTGGCACAGCCCCAAGCTTCACAACAACATGCAAGCCACCAGAGTAAGACAAACTGAAAGACAAATTTGTTTCCCTTAGCTGGCCAAAACCTCTCCACCCTCCCCTTACCTGGATCCCATGGCTCCGTCATCCATGGCTTCCCCCACCCCACCCCACTTCCTGCTTCTTGGGGTGGCACCTGTCTTCTCCCTCCTCTTACCTGGATCCCATGCAGCTCTGTCCTCCCCTTGTTATTGTTATGTGTCATCTAGTCAGATCTGACTCATGGCGACCCCTCCTTGGGTTTCCAGGGCAGTATCACTACAGAAGTAGATTGCCCCATTTTCCTTCCAAGGAGTGGTTGGTGGGT